TAAAACGATTCTCGAGTTTTATAAAACGATTCTCGAGTTTTATAAAACGATTCTCGAGTTTTATAAAACGATTCTCGAGTTTTATAAAACGATTCTCGAGTTTTATAAAACGATTCTCGAGTTTTATAAAACGATTCTCGAGTTTTATAAAACGATTCTCGAGTTTTATAAAACGATTCTCGAATTTTATAAAACGATTATGAGTTTTATAAAATCACTTTTGCGGAAAGTAATGATCTCCCTTTTACAGAAGCTATCGCAGACGTTGGTTTCGAGAGTACGGTTTTCGACACCAACAGAAACTATTGTTGAAATTTTTATTTTAAACTTTAAATATTTATTTTATTTTTAAATATCCTAAAACTATCCTCCAAAATCACACCTCTTAAATCTAAACCTTAAGTCTAAATTAATTAACACTAGAGGTATAAATGTTTATGTAATTCTTTAAACCAAAAAAAATAAAGGTGGTTAAGGTAAACATGCAAAATGATATAACATAAAAAAAACTCTCTAAAATATTTGTTTTTAGGCTTTTTCTTGTTCGTATGGTCCATGTAAAAAAATTTTTTCCCAGATTAAGCTGCAAACTTACAGCACTACAGTTATAACCAACAAAAAATTATCACCTAACATTCTTCAAACTTTATTATATGTTCAAAATTTATTCAATGTATTGCAATATTATTTCTATTTTATATTTTCATTTGGTTTTGTATTTTTATGATTATATGTGCAATTTTATATTATTTTTTGAGTAAAAAAGTGTAATATTATATTTTATATAAATAAAATAGTGGTTATTGGCAAGGCCTGCTAAGGTCAATATATATACAAATTGTTGGTGGAAATTGTAGATCTGTGCATTATTTTTAATAATTGGCGAACCTAGTAATTTAATGGATGGCTTGCCAATTACGTCCTTCAGATGACACAGACGTATTATGTAGATCTTACCTGCTACCAGAAAATTTGACAAACTTTGATTCTTATTTCTAGTGAAGAGGAAACGTAAACAAACAATTGAAACCAGATACAGTTTTGATAATTGAAGAGAGAAGGGCTTGAAACCGGATACACTTGTAATGATTGAAGAGAGAAGAGGTGTAAGATATTTTACAAATTATTGGTCGGAAATGTGATTCGTGTCACTGTTCCGAACTTAAGTTGGGGAGAGCTCGACGCCATAGGACAATGAGCTTCACATATCCCAATGAAATATTTCCGATGTTGTATGAATCTTTTGCTTAAATCGTATTTCAAACATTAAATCCAAGAGTTATTGCACTGGATGAACATGAATCGTGAGTTATATATGTAACTTAGCCATGGCTCTCACCTATCTAATCAGTAGCAGATCTTGTCAGGTACCTTTCTTTCTCTACACCCACATCAATCTGTATACCTGTGTAAACCATATATAAACTGGTTTGTTGTATAATGAATTGAAATTAAGATTGACAATGTAACATAACGAACTTATATTGTTGATCTAAATTTTTTGTTATGTTACTAAACCAAATATAAACCGGTATGTTTTATGTCGTTAACCTAAATATTAACCGCGACATATTAAAAATATTTGTTTTGATGAACAGAATAATAATATAGTGGTTTACTTAGAAGAACCAGTTATCTTTGTTGAATTAAATTTGAATTTTGCACGGTTAAAACATCGAATTTTTCGGGTTATGTTGTAAACAAAGTTTATAACCGGGTATTTAAACATTTTAGATTTGCTCTTACACTATCAATAATTACATAACCAGATAAACTGAACATATTATATTTAGTTATGGTTTTGTATGAAGTACATTACCGGATAACTGAACATTTATGAATTGTTAATGGTTTAAAACAGAGTACATAACCGGTTAGATTATAATAATGGAGATAGTAGATATTTTTAGTCAGTTTGTGGACGAAAGATTTTCGAATTGTTTATTCACAATTATAATACTTTTTAGAGGAAATGTCAATAATATAGAGAACATGTAGGTAGCCTAGGAGCATTAGATGAAGTGATTCTATGAAGATACGCATGTACATTATTTTGCATGTATCGCCAGTTCATACCCAAAAATCTCTTTATATAGTCTTTAACTTCACACCCTTATAACCCACACATCTTCAGTTAATAACCATAAATATGTTTATAATTGTGCTACCGTGAAGCAGAGGAATGATAAATAAGCTGACAGTGATAGAGATAACCTTGGTAATAATTGTTTTCTGAAATTATGTGTATCGATAACTTATTTAATTACGAAATAAATACGATTTCATGTAGGATGCAGTATAAAATATAAATCTTTAACCGTTTCTCATTTTACTTTACTGCATCTTTATTTCCACAGATGGGTCAACTGGTACGTGTTATTAGTGGCCAATGGGCAAAATCTGCGGATGGGATATGGTGATTCGACGGAGATCCATCCGATGTGAAACACTATATAATCAAGATGAACGAGAAAATACCATCTCTAATGTCTCTAGTAAGGGAAGAGCAGAGGATCGGAGAGCAGACACCTAAGGTTTTGTCCTATCATCTACCACCTAATCGGCTGCTACCATATGGATGTACATCTGCACCAACAAACGTACTTACCCCAGAGGACGTTGAACTACTGTTGAGTGTGCAAGAGTGGACCAAGGATGTCGAATTATGTTTCACGTTTGGAGCAGAGAATGTTGCAAAGTATCAATTTCTCTGTAGAGAACCCTTCACAATAGGTCAAAGAACTTTTTTAAGTGATAGAATAACAGAGGAATACCACCTTGCGGCAATTATAGGTGAGAGAATTCAACGTAAGAAAAGTATTTATCGTTAAAACATATATATAATGTCGATATACTTTTGTGTTATGAAGATATGGTGGGGGAAGACGAGTTTGACTTCAGTGGACCTGGACTTGCTGAGATATTCAACCAGACGAACCTCGTTTTTGTCTATCTATTCTCCCTAGAGATTGAAAAAGAAAGATCAATGTTTGGTAGGAAGAACAGGAGTACTAATGAGTTTTCTCAAATGCCTGGTGATGAGGGTGGAGAAAGGAATAACATGACAAAATGTAATAAAAATGTAATACCGCCAGAGTTACCAAAAGACCAAGGTAGTCACTGTTTTTTTATGTTTTAACATATATTTAAATCGACACCCTAGATATATTAATTCACAACCTGACCTATTCACAAATAACCTCAAACAATCAAATTTATTTAAACGTTAAATACATGCAGATTTGCCAACCACTCCTGACCGATTTCATCAACCTATTAATCCGAATAACTCATACACACGGAACGAGAAGAACGAAGGACATCAATTCTGTGATTATGAACAGAGAGATACAGATGTAGGTGACGAAGATTGGAATGAATTCATCATTCTAGATTTCGAAGGTACAAGAAGCAAAAGTTTTAATAATGGTGGCCATGAAAATATATTACCTTTATCGACTGATATAAGTGTAGATGATTATATTACCCCTTCAAACCAACCTTGCATTGTTGAAGTTGGAGAATCAACAACCGGTTCTACACAAGGCTCCTTCATGAATCTCCAATTTCCCATTCAAAATGACGTATCACGTCAACGGTGTGGAGAACGAACAGGGAAGCTTACAAAGATGCAGCCGACGAGGTAGCTTAACTTGTAATAAAACATCTGGATATTCATAGAACATCCTTTCAATAAACATATAATTTCAGCTATGTTTAGAACCACAAAAAAAATTGAAATTGAACAATTAACTTGGAATTTCTGTTATGATGCAAGAACTACTCAGCGAGCAGGAATGGATAATATGTTCAATCAAGAGGCAGAGAGTGTAGTAATAGGACCAAATCATGAAAATTTAATCAACTTCGACCGTGAGGTCGAAAAAGATTCTTTTGTAATGCAAGAATCCAATGGTGGGTAGCAGATCACTTATAGATGAAAATCATATGGGGGGGATTGCTATTAATGATGAAGAATTGGTTTATTTGCTATTAAGTAAATATACTTTCCATATGTACATAGTCTAACAGTCGTCACAACTAGTACATGTATTGAGAATTTAGGTCTGAAAGATTGAAAAAAAATATAATAGTCACCAGAAATGAAAAGTATGAACATGCAATGTATCAAAAAATATATATTCTAATTCTAACTATTATAACCGAAGATGCAGGAGATAAGACACATAATCTGGAAGTCATATATGTTGGAATGATTTTCAAAAATAGGGAAGAGTTCAAGCAACATATGGCGATGTATGCAATAAGGAATAACTTCCAATTTCGAAACACTAGATCATCACCCGATGGAATGATCCTCAGATGTTTTTCTACAACGTGTAACTGGCGGGTGTATGTAGTCATTTTGAAGAATATAAAGATGTTTGAAGTTAGGACAACTGAACTCAATCATTCATGTACCATTGACGATCGTTGTGGATCCAATCACAAGCAACACATACGGTGATCAGAGGAATGATCAAGGCAAGGTTTGCTGGAATGGGGGGGGGGGTCCATGCACAAATGATATAATGCAGGCCATGGAAGGGGATCACAACATTCACATTTCATATTGGAAAGTATGGAGGTATAGAGATGTTGCTTTGTAGTATGCAAAGGGTTCTTGTGGAGCTCTTACAAAATTTTTCCATCATACTTAAACAACCTAGTTAGTTCAAATCCTAGAAGTGTTACAAACTTGCATACGGAATATGCAGAGGGGTTTGGTCATCGTTTCAAGTACATGTTCATGGCTTTATCTACAAGCATTGAAGGATACCAATACATGAGAAAGGTTGTTACAGTGGATGGAACACACTTGCGGGGTAAGTATGCCGGGTGTTTGCTGTATGCGTCTGCGCAAGACAGGAATTATCAAGTGTTCCCTTTGGCTGTTGCGGTGGTAGATGGAGAAGATTATAAAGCTTGGGAATGGTTTTTCCGAAAACTGACATTGTTTATACTAGATAGCAACAAAGTAGTTTTCGTTTCAGACAGACATCCATCTATATATTGTGGTATCGCAAAAGTGAATATTTATTTTTGTAGTAATATTTCATTTTTACTCCAGCAATCTAATATCGGTACATGCAAATGAAATAATAGTTTTAGTATAACTGGCTTTTTCTTTATCAAATACGGTAATATGGTTTAATGACCATAACAACGAATTGTATGATGGGAGTGTTTATATCTGACTCAGAACAAGAATCTATTATCATCATAAGCGAAATGTGAGAACTTACTTTAAATACAAGCATCTGGGATACCTAGTTGGAAAAGCTGCATGTGCGTATAAACTTCGGATTTCTACACTATATTCAACGAGATTAAGAGAGGCAATGGATCTTGTGCTGGACTACCTCATCGGTATAGTATTCAAACACTGGGCAAGATCCCATTTCCAGAGGAATCGATACAAAATTATGACAAGTAATGTTGCTGTGAATATCTCATATATTCTCTCATAGAATACATTCGTGCAAAACTTATTACATGGTTTGCCACAAAACGAGAGATCGATTCGGAAGGCTCTAATTTTTTGACTCCTCGGGTTCAAGAGATCGTCACATCATATTTTGAAAGAAGTGGGGTGTTTGGGGTGACCGTTATCAGAAATCGTGAATATGAAGTAACAGACAAAGCGGGCGAAAGTATCCATGTCAATCTGAACGATAAGTGTTGTACATGCCATGAATTCCAAGCTTTAATGATTCCTTGCACCCACGCCATTGCCACTGCAACGGGGTACAAGGTCCGAGTAGATTCATTGGTAGCCGAGTGTTACAGTTTGGGAACATACAAGGCAGCTTATGCGAGAATCATATACCCGGTGGTGGAAGAAGAAAGGATTGAGATCCTTTCCAGCGACAGTACTAACGAGCTACAAGATATAAATCCGCTAGCCAGCCAGAGACCATCGGGTAGACCGAGAAAAAAACGGATATTATCAAGAGGAGAATTTCAGATAATTTTATGTACTTATTGCATATATTTCTACGAACCTGACTAATGATTGAAAGGTGAAAATGCAGACAAGGGGACCTTGGAAGAGCACGCTATGCGGTAAATGCAAGCACCCTGGACATAACAGGACAACATGCAAAATGCCAATATAATCTTCTGATTGTATAAATTGGAAAGATAGAACCTTGGATGATGAATGTGTATGTAAGTTAGGAGGATGAATGGATGTTTAATGTTTGATGTATAATGCATCCATGTTGAGGGATGTGGCCGGTTTATTAATATTCCCGAGTATGTAATAGAAATAAAATATTCTTTCTAATAACAAAATGGTACATGCTGATATAGGTACCACATTAACGTAAGGCCTATTTAGGCCTCATAATATGCTTAATCACCAATTATGACAAATACTTGAAAATGCCAATTATAATCTGGTTAATTTACTTATAAAACGGGTTATTAAACTCACAACATGGAAAAAATCGGTTTAAATAACAAACCTTAGAAAGGAAGAAAAAGCAAAAATACATGAAGAAGGAATAAGTGTATGCAATGTAATTGAAAATCCTAAGTGGCCAAATTTTAACCATTAAACAATAGCTTTTAAAATCCTTGTAAGCCAATAATTGTTTACAAATCAGACTAAAATATAATAAGTTGACACAAATTTATCGTATACTATGTAATTTGAAATACTTTAACGCAATAATCCAATACAGTTTCAAAGCAAGTTCAAAAACGTGAAAATTTAACTGGTAGTTAAAATAATAATCACGTTTTACATATATCGAAAGTGACAATATATACAACACCTTCAAATACGTTACGTGGTTTAAGAAGATAACTTTCCATTATTTTGACAACTTACGCTATATAATGAACACATAGAGAGGTGTTTAAACCCACGAAACATTATAACCATAACCAAAATATCTGGTAAAATAATGAACTTTAATATCATAGTAATATGGATATAGAGTAAAATTCCTTTGTTACAAAATTCTAACCAGAAAAATACTAATATAATACATGATTTATATCATCCATATGTATTCATTAAACAGACAAAAAACCTGACTAATGAAGGTTACATATATTACAATTAAATAATAAAACTGATATTACAAATTAAGGGGTAAGATTATGTAATATTTATTGGTAGTAAGCGTTAAATCAGAAACCGGTTAGGGGGTATATAGTCGGTTTAAACAGAAAAAAATGATCAATAAATATTTATACCATTATTATAATTAGGGTCGGTAGAAAGCCACGTTTTCACAACATACAACTGTTGGAGATATTTTACTTACATGAGAAGATTTACGTTGAGGTTTTATATATAATGATAAATTAAATTGTTAAAAATTATCATAAATCTGTTTTGTCATGTCAGACTGCGTAATGAGGATGGTATAAGAGTAGCTAGCCTGCAAGCATTAATTATAGTGATATGGTGAGATTCTCTGGTTTAGGTTTGAACCAAAAGTAAGACCAAATTTAACTAATGTATTTTTCTATAAATAGGTACATCCATATTTCCTCAAAAGCAACACATATCTAAGCATCAATTATAGGAAGAAGTAAAAGCAACCGGAGAAAACTTGAGATAACTGTAAGTCTCTTTAAAGTTATGTTTTTTTAAATAAGGTTTCTTACTAATACGGGTATTAAAAAGAAGAAAATTTAGGGTTCTTATTACAAGGAGTTCTGTCGACTATTCTGGTCCAACATTCTTTATTCCCAAAACTCGTACTTGTTCTCTTATGTCAGATGGCTCGTCTAGTTCTTATTTCCAAAGGAGAGTGGTCTAAATCGCAACAAGGTGTGTGGCAATTTGAAGAAGATGATACAGTTATGTCTCAATCCATTCTTGTGAGGAGAAAAGAAGAACATGCTTCCCTAGAACTGAAAGTCCGTGGTCTCTTCAATATCGGACGAAAAACTCCCCTTGTTAGTCACATTCCAGCTCCCGTAGTGGATGCTTGAACCCATCGGTGAACCAAGTCCCCCTCAGACCATTTGCACAAACGCGGACATTGACATGCTGATGAGAGTCCACGAGCTGAACACAGAGCCAAAACTATGTATAGTGTTTGTTCCTCAAGAAGTTGCTAAGTACCACTACATATGCATGAGTCCATTTACTATTGGGCGCCAGAGTTTTCTTGGAGAAGGTGTCACCGAGGAACAGCACTGGTAAGAATTATTAAAACCAGCTTCGCTTAGTAGACTATCTATATGACTAAAGATGGTGAAATAAAGAATGATAGATATATAAATTGCAGCTATAATGAGTCATGGACGGATTACGTGCAGTGAAGAAGTCATTAGTGAGTTTAGTGACCCAGAAAAACTGATGTTTATGTATCGCTTTTCCATGGAAGTTGAGAAAGCGAGAAAATCTCTAGACCTGAATGTGGACGTCGAGCCTAAAATGGGTAATCACATTGTCACTAATGCGGACAATCATCATGTTGTTAATCAGCAGATACCGGATGCTAATCAATTTAATGGGATTGGTGGGTTTAATATGGTTGAAGAAAACGTTAATATATGAATATTTAACTAAATTTTTATGGTTCGATTTTTAGATTATCACAATATAATTAGAGGTTTAAGGAAATTTAACCTACCCAAGTATATGTCAAATGCAGCGGACATTTCTCTTGTTTCAGTGTTGAGAAATACTTATGCACCATCACCGTACGGTGGAGTTAGTGTTGGATATGTTCTCTATGATGAAACTCGCTACTGGGAGATGAGACACGTGTATTATTAAAGGCTTCCAGTTACGCTCTACAGCTAGCAAGGATTTATGGTGTTCATGGCTCCGAATTTACTGGTTATCTACCCAACGATCTCAACATAGTCAATTCTGGTGACCAGGAAATCCTCCTATACCAAGTTACACTCTACAGTCGAAGTGAGAGGTCAGATTAACAACTCTACAGTCGGAACAGGTTACGTGCATGGTCATGCCATCTTTGAGATAGGTATGTCGCTTCCAGCAACATAAAATTGACGAGTTAAATTTTATTTGGTAACCAAAACCTACTCTTATAAATCCCTTATTTAAATTCTGTTTCGGCTATATTGTCAAGTTAAAAATTAATATTATTTTAAAATTATTATTACATAGGTGAAACCTTGAGGCGGGTGATTGGTGAGGATGACATAAAAGATGAGGCTCAAGAAAGGACTGATGTGACGACTCAGGGTGCGCTGAGGAATGCAGATGATGTGGTTGATGAAACTCGTCGTGGTCGACTGGGAGGCAAGTAATGTCATTAAAGTATGGTTGGTGATGCAGAATAGTAGGAGTTATGTTTATCTATAAGAACGATAATAGAAGAAATGGTGCTTTTTGGGATGTTATTTAACATATGCTTGTTAGATAAACTTTATTTACTATCTCCTAGGTTTGTAAGATAAAACGTTTCTTATTTTGGGTTGTTTGTAATATGTGATAGCTTGTGTTATATAAGAATATCATGGGAGTATGTGTTGGTGTAAGAACTTAAATCTTGTGTAATATTTATTAAGAAGAAGAAATCAAGGTGAAATATTTTGGGAACCAGGTATGCTTAAATATGGTTGTAGTAACTTGATATTAACAGAAGTAACCGGTTTTAATGTGTGTAGTAACTTGATATTGGAAGCAGTAACCGGTTTTACTGATCATCCTCATAATCTTACATACTAAAATAATAACATCACAGAAATTTAAAATTACAAAAGGAATTCAAATTTAATAAAGTAACAATGGTCACCGGTGTTAAGGTTAAAACTCATAAACATAAAAATGTAAATAATAATCATAGCCGATATACATTAGCATTACGAAACAATAACATATAAGAGTTCATAACTGAAAGTGAAATGACAATAGTTAAGTAAATCCTCAACACAGCAAATGAAAACACTTAATCCGGTTATGACACATAACATAAGATTTAGAAAGAAGATAAATAACAGTCATCCTACAGCAATCTTGTCTTCATCAGCTCCTATGCTTTGTGTCTCTTTCTGTCGGGTTTGCTTCTTCTTACCAACAACTTTTGAGTCTTCCTGCATCTTCTCTACATCTGATTCAGTAGCTCCACCTTTGAACATATCCTTCGCAAACCCAAACTTTTGAAAAATAAGCTTCACAAGGTTCTCAGCTTTTATATCAAACACCTCGTCAATCCAAACCAAAACCAATTCATTGACTCGGCGTTGAGGATCTTGGGGGATAATACTCTTCACAACAACCTACATAACATACAAATATCCAGTTCAGTTGAAATTTACAGGTATAAACACGATTAATATAAGGGATCGTATTTTGTTTCCCTTGACTAAAGTATCAAATCTGTTCACTGCAGCAAATGAGCTTACCTTAGCATTTCTATCTACTTCCCGTGCATGGGCAGGATTCAATGTCTTCTTCTTGGCCTTGCTAACAGGGTACTCTGTTTCATCATCTTCATTTTCTGATTCGGAAGAAGACCACGCATCTTGAACCACTTTTGTCAAAACAGGGACATCGTCTACAATTAAAAGCTGGAGAGCTAGAGCAAAACCTTTTAGCGCGATGGTATTTTGAGATAAGGATATCTCATCCCTCTTTTTGAGACTAGTCATCAGCATATCAAATGCAAGACGGACCCATGGGAAAGACAAAAATTCCTTGATGTCTCCAAGAAGCTCAGCATGCTCCTTCAGCATATTCATCTTTCGATTTGTTGAGAGAAACACAGATGAAACTATAGCAAGACATGCCAATTTCATATGGATATATGGATCTATAACAGTTTTTTTCTGAAGCATCTTCACCACCCTAGATACTCGCATCTCTTCCATATTGCCAAAGAGCTCCGGCCAATAAGGTTTCTCTTTGATGTTCTTCTTCTTCTTCAACTTCTGTTTTTTTTTTAGTTCCCCGCAAGGAAGTCCAGTGACGATGGTGAACTCATGCAAAGAAAACTTAATTGGATTTCCTGCGAACTGAAACCAAGCTTCATTTTTTTTTCTACCTTAAACTGTTGCGATAGAAGATATCTAGCAAACCTACCAGAGAACGCAGGCTTTTCAGCTATCTTTAGGAGTTTACCAAAAGATGACTCTCTCATGTACCAGATCTCATATTCGTTTAGAGCATTAAGGATGGTGTTGATGGCTCGGGAAGACTAGTAAGTCATAACCCTAACACCGACTGGTTCCTCTCCCTCCGCGAACATCGACTATTCTTGAAGCAACCATTACAGATTATAATAGATTTTGCAGACATAAATAAAAACTGAGATTTGTTTTTAGAAAGAAATGATATATTGAGAACTAAAATTATAACAAACCTCTTTGGGGTTTTGTAGTAAAGAAAAAGAGGTATTCAAAAGTTCCGATTATATGCATTATTATTACTTTTACTGTATGTTTCTCCAATCACTTCCCGACTCTTTGCATTATTATTACTTTTACTGTGTACAATCGCATGTTTCTCCAATCACTTCTGACGTGTAATAAATCTTTATTATTCACTTTTCTTATGGGAATAGAGACAGTTTAGATATTACTTTAAAATGTACAGTATCATATACACTTACTTAATAAAGTTCTATATCGTTGATATCTAGTGCGAAAACCCTAACGGAAAACCACACAATAACCAATTTGTTTAGAACACGTGTCAAAAGATGAAAGTATGAGTTTACCCCTAAAGCTAACTCAAATTCCCGCTTGCGCCTTCCGACACTCGCAATTGTGTTAGCAGGTAAACCCTACAAAGCACATATCTTCTCGCTTTCTCATCTATTCTTCTTCTCTATCGATGGAGTTTTTGCTTCTTGAATTAATTCAATTACATACTCTTTTTCAATTCCCGTGTTTGTAATTATCTCAATATTGAGACTCTCCGATACAGAAAGTAACAGTATTTTTTTGTTTGTTTGCTTGTTTAGAAATGATAAAGATTTATGTAGTGATTTGTTTGATCCTAACTTAATCAATTCTTCTGCAAATAGGATTATATATATATTGAGAGAGAGAGAACATGCACTCTATAAAGACTAGTTGCGCTGGGCAGATATTTGCTCTCGCTAAGCCCCACGACTCTGTAGGCAAGAAGACGCGTAATAGGATTCCCAAAGAGGAGAGAAAGACACTGGTTGTATCTTTCATTAACAAGTATGAAAGTTCATTCCTTCTTCCCCCCTAAAGTGTTTTCTTTTTCTACCTATTGTAATTGGTGATTGTTTATTTACAGGCATCAAAAGCTAAACAATGGGAGCTTTCCTTCACTTAGCCTCACACACAAGGAGGTTGGTGGATCTTTCTACACCATTAGAGAGATTGTCAGAGAGATTATCCAAGAAAATAGAGTTCTTGGTACTAGTGACTTGGTTCTTGACAGCAAAGGCGATGATCAAACTCTGTCAAGATCCACTGTTCTGATGGATCTTGTGCCACCTCTATCTTTGTCTCCAGATGGAATAGATTCTCTATCAGATCAAAGTCATAATCTCTCTTCCGAGCCTGGAGAGACTAAGTCCACTAAAAACATTAACGGTAGCAAGGTTGGCCTGGAAGATAGAGGGTCTGATATACTCAAGTACAAGGAAGTGAATGTTTATCAACTTTCCGAATCAGTGGGCTCTACTGACATATCCAGTAATCAGTTTTCAGCATCTTGCGCTGAAGAGAATGATACCAAACATGTTAATGCGAAGACAATATGCGATAGTGTTGACGTCAAACCCCAGGATAAAGAACTCAAGGTGGATAACAAAGACAGTAGATTTGAGAAGTTACCTTTCGTTGAAACAGAAGTCAAAAACCCTTTGAATACTGACGAAATTGTGAATGATGATGAAGCAGTGATGACTGGAATGGTGAACATGACGAAGGATACATTAGGCACAGATGATTTGTTACCAGCAGAAACAGTTGTTGAGACATTTTCAGTGACTTCAACAATGGAGTCATCGGATGTACAGCCTAGTGAATTGGCTTCTGTTGATCTGGGAGAGATTACTTCACTCATTTATGTTGTACCTGAAGAACAATGGACGCAGGTCATTGTTGGTCAAATGCCAAATCATATCTCTGTCGATACAGAAAAGAAAGTTGAAGAGAAAGCTGTTAGTCATGCTCCTGTGATTCGCAACATCCATGAAACTAAGGAATTTAGTAATGGAAGTTTGACAACTGAACAGACAATTATGCCAACATCTGGGACTGAGGTAAGCTTTGCCAACTATATGTTTGGTTTTGCATTGGAACTAAATAGTCTTCTAGGTTTCCATGCTAGAAAATTGTTTGTGTTCAGCAGGTTGTCCTTATTTTGTTATGTTACTTGTTTGCGAGCATCTCCTAATTCTTCGTGATTGAGTTTAGATCCTTTAGGACTAAAGTATGTCATGATTGAAGAACATTGATCTTGCAATCATCCTTCTCCTAAGCTGTTTTTGAAGTTCATAGCATGTATGCAAATCTGTTAATTGATTGTACCTAGAAACTGTGTTAACAATGAATTTTTTTCCAACCTTTTGAATTGTGTAACAGTCTGGAAATTGTAAGAATGGCACAGCTATAAGTGAAGTCACAAGTGTAGAAAAAGCAACCGTGGAAAAAGGGAAAGTCGATGTTTCAGATAGTTCGAGCTCTCAGAAAGCAAACATTGCAACGTTAAACCGAATTAAACCGTGAGTTCAACAAACTCCCTAGTCTTAGTTAATGCGGTGGGTTTGTTGGGATTGTGTTTGGTTCTCCACAGGTTTCACATGCATTGCCTTTCTTTCATCTTATTCTGTGCAGTGAATCGTGGAAAAGGCAAACTAATGTGGCAGGACAGGAAACGAATCCCCTTCTGGCAGTTCTAAAATCCTTTTTAACAGCCTTTGTGAAGTTTTGGTCCGAGTAATAACATATTGTAGAGAAACTCTGGTTGAGTTTTAGTAGTATTCGTTAGTGAGAGTTGGTAAAATTAAGATGAGATATGGTTTGGAATGTACTATTCAATTTTGTGTGTTGAATGTTATGGGTTGAATCATATGAATGTAGTTTAATTGGAGACGCCAAGTACAAAGTCTGAGGATAATCCTCTTGAACATTTCTAAGAACCAGTTAAATCCCAATGGACTTGAGTATCTTGTTTATTGCATAAGATTTGCACAGAAAATGTCAGCCTGAATTGGTCGGTCATTAACAGGTAAGTATTTGAACCAAGCGTTGGTTTGGTTACACCACACGAACTGAATGATGCAGTAAAACCCGCCACTTCCAAGGGTGACATGCAACCAAAGAAGCTCTCATTCTGTTACAGCGGCTCCTCATTTTTATTTTGGTTATTTAAGGGGAGACCACAAGCTTTCGATGCTTAGCAAAATGAAAAAACAGGCAACAAAGATGATGAATGGTGGAGTTGAGTCAAAGACACGCAAGGGCCTTCCTGATTTCCTCAGCTTTGTGAATTTGAAATACGTGAAGCTTGGATACATTTACCTGCTCTCTCTTTCCAGTACCTTCTGCTTCTTTCTTCCTCCTCTTCTCCTTCTCTTCATCTTTGTTTCTCGGTTTCCCCCACTCTTGGCTTATCCTTTATCTATCTTCTTGCTTCTTCTCCTTTACCATTTTTTTACTCCTTCCTCTGTGTTCTTGCTTGACTTCTCATGTTACCGCCCACCTGATCATTTCAAGGTCATGTCTCTTTCCTTTCAAGCTTGTATCTCTTTCTTTCAACTTCTTCTCATTGTTGTTTTGTACAGATCACGAAAAGCGACTTCATCGAGCTGGCAATGAAGTCTGGTAACTTCAACGAGACTTCCATCGAGCTTCAGAGAACAGTACTGGACCAATCAGGCATAGGAGAGGAGAGCTACATGCCAAGAGTGGTGTTCAAACCTGGCCACAAGGTCAACCTTCGTGATGGCCGAGACGAAGCAGCAATGGTGATCTTTGGAGCGATCGATGAACTTCTTGCATCCACCAAAATCAACGTGAAGCATATCAAGATCTTGGTGCTAAACTGCGGAGTGCTAAACACCACGCCTTCTCTATCAGCAATGGTGATCAACCATTACAAGCTGAGGCATAACACGGAGAGCTACAATCTTGGTGGTATGGGATGTAGCGCTGGAATCATAGCCATTGATTTAGCTAAAGATCTTTTGAACGCTCATCAAGGGTCATACGCTTTGGTGGTGAGCACTGAGATAGTGAGCTTCACTTGGTACTCAGGCAATGACGTCACGTTGCTCCCACAAAACTGTTCATTTCGGATGGGAGCAGCTGCAGTTATGCTCTCTAGTCGCCGTGTCGATAGATGGCGATCCAAATACCAGCTTATGCAGGTGATAATAACATAAAAACAGTCTGGTTTACTCTTTCTCTGATCTATTTTTTACTCATGAAATGCAACAGCTAGTAAGAACACATAAAGGCATGGATGACACAAGTTACAAGAGCATGGAGTTGAGAGAAGACAGAGAAGGGAAACAAGGACTGTATGTATCTAGAGATGTAATGGAAGTAGCTCGCCATGCACTCAGAGCAAACATTACAACCCTTGGTCGTCTTGAGCCATCTTTTCAGCATATATGTATACTGGCAACGAGTAGGACAGCACTTGATGAGATTCAGAAGGATCTCAAACTGACTGAAGATAACATGGAGGCATCGAGGAAGACACTGGAACGTTTTGGGAATACATCAAGCAGCAGCATATGGTACGAGTTGGCTTACTTGGAACACGAGGGGAAGATGAAAAGAGGAGACAAGGTTTGGCAGATCGGTTTCGGGTCAGGGATTAAATGCAATAGTGTTGTATGGAAAGCCCTGAAAAACATAGACCCTCCAAGACACAATAACCCATGGAATCTCTGAGGATTAAGTGTATGATAACATGAATAAAGTGACTCACCAACGGAAATAATAAGATTGCATTTGAACATATCCCCGATGCTATAAGATCTTACACAAGGCAAACCATCTAATAAAGAGATGCAGTCTGCTCTTGATTTGTTTATGTATCATCACAAGCTAAACACTGATGTTAACTAGTTGAAACATGAAAGGATGAAACTAAACAACATTTAATATATTGTGTAGTAGCAAAAGTTGCAATGAGGAGAAGAAAGTAACCAACTTGAAGCTCTGGATGGTTCCAAGCTCTTGTTAGACACAAATGCTACTATCTGGAGCCACTATACCCTCAAGTTTCCATCCACCAGGTCCAGCCAGAGCGAAAGCCTGTGATGCCAATAATATAAAGAATTAGTTTGGATATCAAAGAGAAAAGGGAGTAAAAGCATAAATCTGGGAATGTAAACAAACATCTTCCCAGGAGTTGCCAAAAGCAAGAAGCAAAGCAGCATTGCAAGTTTTCAACTTAACAGAAGCACCAGAGAGCATGGAGGCTGCTTCTTCCCATCCCTTATTATGCCCCATACACCTGTGCATATCATCAATTAGATAAGAAAACAATAACACAACACAAAGAAGAGAAAGATGCAGACAGTTACTAACATGACAGTGGTGATGTCAGGGGATGAGTATTTGGAGATAATCTGCTGAAGATGCTCAGCTGTTTGACCGTCCATGGCAGCAATGGAGTAAAAGCTTGGGATGAAATGTACATTAGCTTCCATAAAGCCATCAACTTGGGCTTGCATTGACTTCAGTGTCTCCCTAGTCCGAGTCGCGTCGCTGTGAAAATGAATTTTAACTTTTTAACCTCACGAATCAAAAGTGATATTTTTGAGTAAAATTGTAAGGAAAAAAGACCTAGAGAGAATGAGTTGGGGAAGCCAACCAAGTGAGGAGAGGATTTGAGCAACTTTAGCAGCATCGGCTTGTCCGGTCTTTGTTAGAGGACGATCATGATCTAATACAATATATATATATAGAGAGATATCAAAGATTTATTTTTTTGGATTGAAACAGAGAAAGAGAAGAAGAGGGGGGGGGGTACCTTTGAGGGAAAGATGGTCCCAGGAACTGTGAGCGTGGCGGAGAAGGATGAGACGGCGAGTGATGAGTGTTGAAGGAGAAGCAGATGCACGAGGCGGAGCTGTCGAGCAAGAAGTGGTGGTTCGGTTTAGGCCGGAGACGAAGAAAGGAGAAGGACATTTGAAGCTAATCATCGCACTTCTTATCTCATTTCATCTCTGTCTTACCTCATTTTCAGGAAACTAAATAGTAAAGACTTTTTTTTTCTTTTATTGTGAAAAGATTATATATTTTAAATAATAGGCTATTGGTTGGAGAGGATGATGACTAAGCAAGCTATTAGTTTTCTTTCGAAGAATTGGATAAATAGACTAATGAATCAAACAAAACCAAACCGCACTGTTTAAGTACATCGTCTGTGTTTCAGTGCGACTCAGAGGAGGAGGTATATACTTTACCATTTTGATTTCCTTGACTCTTTTCGTTTTCTCATGTAACTTGTTTTTTTTTTTTTTTTTGATGCTCATGGAGAAGCCCAGACTAATCCCGAATTTGTTATATATTCGTATCTACAAATTTGGATTTGTAGGAGTCACAAATCAAGGACCAATGGGGGATATCGGCAAGTTCACTTGGGTGATTGAAAATTTCTCATCTTTGGAATCTGAGAAAATATATTCTGATCAATTCCTCATTCGTGACTGCAAATGGTTAGACAACTTCTCTCTAACAGAACTTTGTCTTGTAATGTTTTTTAGGGTTTAATAAATTTTAATATGGTTTCTCTGCATGTAGGCGTCTCATGGCCTTTCCCAAGGGAAACGATAAGGCCAATACATTGTCTCTATATTTGGTGGTTGCTGATCCTGCAAGTTTGCCTTCTGGATGGACAAGAAGCGCAAGATTTTCCTTCACTATAGTTAATCAAATTCCGGGAAAGGTCTCTTATACGCGAGGTGAATATTATTTCTATTGAAACACCTGTTCAGCTGTAAGACATTGAATGATGTCAATGCGGAAATGTCAAGGAAATATGTTTTAATTGTTTTTTTTCAGAAACTCAGCACTTGTTTAATAGCAAGGAATCGGACTGGGGTTTTACATCCATGATTCCCCTTAGCGAGCTTAAGGCCAAAAATGATGGGTTTATTGTTAATAAAGAAGTCAAGATTGTTGTTGTGGTTGAGGTTCTTGAAGTTATTGGGAAACTAAAAGTACCAGAAAATGATGAAGAGGCAACCCTGAAAAAGATAAAGCTGGATGATGATGGTGGTGATTGGGTGGATGTCAATGGGTTTCAACTTCTTTCTTCACGGGTAAGATATTAAGAAAGATACACATTTTTTAAAAAGAAATTTCATGGTCGAGAGAGACGGTATATAACCTTTTGGTTTATGCTGATTTTGAAACTGGAGGTTTCTTAATTAATCAGTTAAACAGCAACTTATCTACATGTCAGAAAAATAATATATTATACATTTGCAGGTCAAATTTGCGAGCCGTATCTTTGAAAAACAACCTGACATTGCCTTAGAATTTCATGCAAAGAACCAACATTTGAGGACAGCATGCATGAATGTCCTTCTCTCCCTGATCAAAACACTGTGCCAGTCAGTTCAGGAGCTTTCCAGTGAAGATCTGGGGGAAGCAGAAAACGCACTAGCACACGTGAAAGATGCGGGATTCAAGGTGGATTGGTTGGAGAAGAAGCTCAAGGAAGTGAAGGAAAAGAAGGAGGAGGAGCAGAGTGGTGAGACTCGGATTCAAGAGTTAAAGGAAGAACTCAAGGACCTTAAGCAAAAGTGCGCTGACATAGAAGTTTCCTTGGAGAAAGAGAAGGCTAAGGTTTTTGCCGCCAGAACTAATCAAACACTGGATGAGTTTCTCTAACTTGGGTCCTGCGTTGCTCTCTTCGTTTCAGTCTCTCTAGGTTGTTTTAATTGTAATGTACGCAGTTTCAGTGACAAACAATGTTTTATGTATTTAGCTATCAAGCTTCTAAGCTAAGTAAAAAAAACTCATTAACCGTTATATAACCTAAGATCGCCAATTTAACTGGGTTAGTAGTCATTAGTAAAGCTAGATCGAGGATTAAAGCTCTAAAAAGTTGGAAACACACGGAGTAACCGTGAGGCTATTTGGTTGTGAGGTAGGAGAGAAGTGTGTAACGGCATGACATTGACACCCCTCTAGTATAAAAAAAAGCATCATCTCTTTGCATCATCTTATTAACTATAACTGTTTACATGATGATGATGAAGCCCATGAGAGTTGGGTTAGCAGTTGCACTGCTCATAGTCATGACCATAGCAGCTCTAACCATAGTCACAGCACAGCAAGAGGACCAGCAACCACCTCCACCAATGTTACCTGTGGAGGAAGTAGGAATGTGCAGCAGAACATTCTTTTCAGCTCTGGTTCAGCTGATACCGTGTAGACCAGCAGTGGCTCCTTTCAGCCCAATCCCACCAACGGAGTCGTGTTGCGCTGCGGTTGTCACACTTGGTCGTCCTTGTCTTTGCCTCCTTGCCAATGGACCTCCACTCTCAGGCATTGACCGATCCATGGCTCTTCAGCTTCCTCAGAGATGCTTTGCTAATTTCCCTCCATGCGATGTCATTAACTAGGAGTCGTTTCCTATCATCTTCTTCTTCTTTAGTGTCTTATGTCTCAAGACTTGCAAAACATTAATAAAGATACGAGAATGAGTTTGTGTTGATTATAGTAATTTATTTATAAGAGACCCAAGAGTTTAGTTGTCATTTTATTCGAGAGAGCAGAGAATAATAACTTTTAGTATAGTTTTCCGATCCAAACATCAAAATACATAATTAGCGATGCCTCGACATACTTGCTCACGCCTCAAGTTTCTACCATCTCCTTCATTCTCGGCATCATACAGTTTCTTGAACTGCTTACACTCTATCCCTTAAAATCAACTTGGGTCAAGAAGATGAATAAAGAAGCACCGAGACTAAAGAGCACACAAACAGCTGGAAATATATTCTCAGGTACTAGGACATATCTTAGAGTTGTGCTATGAGTTGGAAGACATAAGCCACAAGGTTAACTGAGAGAGAAGATACTACTGCCTACTGGGAAGCCTCAAGTGAAGGAGAGGACACATCAGTGATTGGAATAAATCATGAGTTAGAATTGAAAACAGGAAAGGAAGTCATTGCTCCAAGTGAGCAAAGAAGGAAGCACCTTTGAATAGAACCGTCTCTATATATGTGTTGCAGCAGTACAATAAAGCCTATAATCTGGGGTAATAAAATTCAGATTCTTCCATGAGAGTGGATGGAGAACTTTCGTACAAGTCAAGCTGGGGAATGTAAAGAAAAATGGACAAGAGGGGTTTCTGCAAATAAGAACAAACCCACCATCTCCCCCCAACAAAAACCCTTACGTTCTGAAATTTATTCTTGAAGCCTTTCTATATTTGATTTGATTTGATTCTTTTGTAAACTTCCAATTTTATTCAACTGTAAAACTAACGAGATGATGATGATCTTGCTCAAGATGCAGCATTCTGAGCAACTTGAGTCTCAATTACAATAACTTGTTTACATAAGAGAGAGAGAGAGAACAAAAGGATGATTCAACTGTTCCTATCTCTAATTATTAAAATCTCAAGAACAAATAACAACAGAAAAACACCTAAATCTCTCTATTTTGAATTATCCCAAATCGTGATAGCAAGTAAACATGAGATATATATATTATTATATCTACACAGGGAAGGTAAGTAAAAGAAAACGAACGAGTGATTAATTTAAGGACGGCGGGGGGAAGAGGAGAAGAAGCAATCGAGAAGGCGAGACCAAGCAATCCTGGCGCGAGGGAAGACTCTCCGGCTATAAACCCTACCTTCCATCCCCATCTCCTCCATCGTCTCCACGAACATCGTCAAACATCTTATCGGCGGTATGTACAGCGTTAACGGCGCCGCCGAGAACGCTATCGTGAAAAACAGCTGCAACATTCTCTTTCTCTCTTTTTTGGTAGATCGCAATTTTAATTTTAGTTTTAATTTTGTCTGGTTATTTGATTGACTAGTAGAGAGAGCACCTAACAAAAATGAAATAACGTAAGATGGTTTAGTTGGAGAAGGGATAAGAAGATTGCTTTCGTCACGTGTTATCCTCTCTATTTACAACTCCCAACTCTTTCTCTCTCTCTCTCTCTATTTTAACTTTTCTTGTTAGCAATCATACACAATGTCTTGCCTGTTCTAGCAGCTACGGCAATATTGTACTTATGTTGGACCGAGACCTCACAAAATTGAGAGTCATTCTGGGTATTTATTACCCATGTCATCTTTAATAACTCTGGTGCAACTGCTATGTCTCCCTTGTCCTAGAACTAACTCGTACATCATGTAGGCATACGCGACTTCTATCAGACACCGCAATAGGTGACGTAATTTTTTCTCTCCAAGGGTCCCCAACAAAAAAATTCAACGGGACAGATTTCAAAATGTTGAGTAAAGATCATTGTAAAACAGAAACTAATGCTTAACGTTATCTCTTTTTAACATCTTTTCAAAATTCTCTCAGCATTTAACCATTTTCAAAATGAGCTAATCTCGTTTCAAAATGTTTTCCACAAACAAAATCTAAAAAAACTTAGATGATAAAGAAGTTAACCATGTTAGCTGAGAGCTAGTAGTGCACGAGTCGTTGGGCATAATGTTTTTTTTTTCTGCAACATAAAAAATCTAAAGAAACTAATGCTTAGCGAATTTTTCTCTTAACATCTTTTGAAAATTCACCATTTCTTTCTACTCACAGTCAAATAAGAAGCTAATCTTGTGTCAAAATGTACACACAGAATCTAAAGGAATACAAATGGATAAAGAAGCTAATGTTGTTCCAAATGTGGATACAACCACCTCGTCACGTTCTCGTCCTCTTTTGCTTCTGAGGAATGAATCTAACACCTTGCTTTCCTAGCTCCACTGTCTTTACTTTTCCATTCTCAAGCGTCACCATCAACTTCGATGCCCCTCCTTCTCCTCCTACTTCACTCACCACTCCTTTCTCCCTGTTTAATTTCCACTCATCAGATGTTACAACAACTTAAGAATTTATGAAACATCATCTAAAGATTAAGACATTCTGAGGCAAAAAAAAAAGAAAACTTATATACCATGAATCATCTGTGGCCTCATGTATTTGAACCTTCTTTCCTTTTGCGTCCTTCCCCAGTTTCTTCAGAATCCAACTAGCATCAAGCATTTCGTCTAACGCACTCTCCTCACGTGATAGTGACACATCTTCATCTTCGTTGAACCCTGATTTTTCAGCTGATCTCTTTCTCTTAGACCTATGTCCTTTGCCAGACTTACTTCTTTCATAGACAATCCTAGGGGCTTCTCGTTGTTCCTGGCTCTCCGGATTATGCGTTTTTATCTTGAGTTTCAGCAATGGTCTTGAATCTTTCTGCAACTCCTCTTGTTGGCCACCATTTAAATCTCCTGCAACTTCTGTGTGACTCCCGATAATTCCGACCTTAGAAGTTCCTACCTCATCTCTCTTTTCTTCATTACACTTTCTTAACGGGTTTGTAACCCCTGCGTTTCGAGGGCCTATACTTATCACCAATTTTTTGGCCTTCCCAGGGTTCGGCTCTGTAGAGTTTTTTCCAAATTTCTCACAATCTGAATCTTGAGATCTCCTACTTTTTATCCTGAGAACTCTTAATGGCTTCTCGTCTTCACCACTGACCATAACTTTCTCAGCAACTTTTCTTTCGACAGAACCAGGCTGATTAATAGGAGGAGCACCACCAGTTTGCTCAACGACTCCTGCATTAGCTCTCAGGCTAGCAATTAGCTCTTTATCCTCAATATCTTTTCGCTTCCAAATTTCCTTTACAGCATCCTCAAGATCTTTGACCTAGCATTGCAAACACAAATCAGAGAGACAAAATGGGATCACTAAATTGTCATTCACATTTCACAGTAATCCACTAGCACCGGAGAGATAATAAGACAACAATACATTAATAAAAGACTGAAGAAACATGAAACACACACCTGGTAGCTTTCTCCTCGACAAGTAGAACATTTGTATTGAAGATTCCCATCACTTTGAAACCTCATATATTTCTCATCGCTGCAACCATTTGTTTGGATACAGACTTAGGAAACGTTTTTACAGGACACAGAAATGCAATTGGTAATATGAAATAGATTTGGACCTGATTCCATCACACGTGCAATGAACCCAGCGCTGGCAGAAGTCACAACACACCATTGGTGTTGCTTCTGAGTCCCTGTAAACCTACGTGACAAAAGAAAAATAAGTTGGTCAGTGACAGATAATAGTATACAGTAAGTTGGCCAAACCTAACCAAATATGAAGCAGGAAAACCGAGAACAGAGCACACATTTCACTATCAACAACAGAGAGAGAGAGAGCAAGAACATACCTTCAAACATACAGGACAGTAATTTCCCTTAACAAACAACCTTCCACAAGCATCACAGCAAGTATGGCCCAAAAACCAACTGCAATTTTAAAAAGAACGATAAGATATAGAATGCACTTCCAATGAACTAATCAAAATTATACACTACAAAGCAAAAGATTTGAATACCGTAAGCTCTGTCCATTCCCGGGGACTTTAGATCCACAGCTGTAACATTTGGTGTGTTTAGGACACAAATAAGGTCCAGAAGTAACAGTCTGTAACATCCAGGGAAGAGAACAAATCAATTTGCAGAAGAAAAGATGAGAACCTTGTATAGAATCCAATAAATACTATACCTTGTGTCGAGGTTGTTGGCAATCACAATGATAGGCATCATCACATCTTTTGCAAAACATCAACTTCTTTGAATCCCCTGTAGATCCACATCCCTAAGGAAAAGCATAATCAAGACAATGTACACGATTAATAACTTATACTTTCATGACGAAACTTTAAAACGTTAAAAACCGTGACATCATTTTGAAAGCATAGGATCAGTCATTGGGAAGTTTTATCCAAACTAACCTCACAGGTTCGGCAAGAGGGGCAAGCCCAAGAGCTCCAACTAAATAAATCTGCAAGCAAAAACCGGTATAAGAAAGTATGCAGAAGAATCATAAGCATCACATTCCTATGAAACGATACCTCTATGTTGAGCCCAAAGCTGCAAGCAATTTCTATGATACTTGTTGCCACAACATTTACAAGAAAGCATCTTTGCTCTCTCGCTTTTCCCAACTTCAACTATATAGCACATGTGACACGTAATACTTGCACTATGATGGTCTTGATCTTCTCCATCGATCTCTTTAACAGGAACCTGCATAGAGAAAGACATAGCAAGGAAACACGAGCTCGGGGTTTAAACTGGAATTAATAAGAATAGTTCATGGAGAGAACACATACATCAACATCTTACAGAAACCAAAAAGGGCAAAAGACATCTAACTAGCAAGTCTAGCCTATCTAAACAAACTAATCATTCTCTCAAGCTATCAACATACTCAGCAATAACAAGTAGGGGAACCAGGAATCGAACCATTACGTCGTCAAAGTCAGGATTCGCAGTAGCTACATTCTTCTTCTTCAGCAGCAGCACCGTGCGTTTGCCTGGTGTCGAAATCGACGATGCGGCAACCTTGAGCGCCGATTCATCTCCAACATCTCTAGTAGCAACGGGAGGAGCGAGCTTAGGCACGTGGATCTGAACGGTACCATCCTTGAGAACGCCAACATCCGCATCCCAGGGGTCTCGCAGGAGCTTTTCGAGAGAGTGGATGTCGTTGAGGAACACATTCTTGCCATGGAGAATCCGTGGAAACCCCAACAAGCAGTCACAAATTTTCCGGCTAAGAAGAAAGAAAGACAAAAGGAACAGTTTGATAATAAGTAAAGTAAAGACACAACGAAGAAGACTAGTGAGGAGGCGCCAAAAAAAAAAAGAAGGAAGGGAGGAGACAAAACATTACCATGTAATTGGACAAGCTACGTGAAAGACCATGGTCAGTTATGCGTTCGGGTTTTCGATTTTTAGGGATCTGACTTTTGTTTTTCCGCTGTAATAATGAATTTTGTTTTTGGTCTCTCGCCAACTTTGTGTAAATAACGTACTCTCTAAGGTCCTAAATGAAAATTATTAGTTACAAAACCCGATCCGTGCCATAGTATAAGAACCAATAATAAAATAACACGTGGATATGCAATATAATAAACAATTATTGTCTGTTAGCCAATATAAAAAAGAACACGTCGATATAAATTGTTCCATACCGCCAAATTCTAATTTTTTTTTTTTTTGTTTTCGCACATAAATAAGGGAAAAATTGGAAAACTGAGACACTTTGAACTTTTATTTGTCTATATATGACTTTTCATACTTTTGATAATTCTGGACATGTTTTACCCTTTATTAATGAAGAAAATAGTAAACTAATTTTGAAAAATAGAAAAAAAATATGAGAAGGCTAGAAAACATAAGTATGACAACATATATGTTTAAGTTTTTATTTTTTAAAAGTGGAATCATATTTTATTTTATCTTCTAGCTACAGATTGAATACTCATTCTGGTTATCTACTTAGTTTAGAAATCATATACTAGGTGTTCTTGCTAGATAAACCCGATGTATGAAACGTAATATAACATTTTTTGTCTATTCTAAAGTATTGGTAACGTTATAATCAAGGCATATGTCTTTGGTGTACGTGAACCTAGATACCGATTTATAACCATAACTTATTGATATACCTGATCCAAATTTTGTGTCATAACCAATTCAGCATGTTACCTTATGTGACGCTTGAGAAAAAAATACGTTTCCCATCTTTTCTACTGGGTTCTGCCGTAGGTAGTATACATATTCTAGGTAATCGGTAAAATATGGAAACTTCCATATTCGGTTGAAGATGTTTCCTAATATCTTAGAGAATATTTTGTCCACGATTTTCTCTCTTCCTCACGATCTTTTTCTCTGTTTCTCTGTGTGTTTAATATTTTTCATCAAAAAGCTTCATATTTTCTTCTTATAAATACAAGATGGTTCTAATCTATGTTAAATTCGGTGAATGTATGTCTAGTTGCAATGACGAGTGGATAAGAAATGCTACCCGTCGGGTATTAGTTTAACCTGCAAAAAAAAAAGCAAAAAAAAAAAACAACACGCGTGAGACTTCATGTCTTAATTAAACAAAAACATAAAAAAGCACGGGATCAATCGATCCCAGAAAGAGTCGGTCGATCCCGACGGTCGATCTCGATGATTAAACAAAAACTTAAAAAAGTACGGAGCAGAAACTGATCGACCTTTTTCAGTTCAGTCGATCTTCACAGATCAATCTATCATAGATCGATCGATCTCTATTTTAGATCGATCGATCCCGATCCCATATAATAGAGTCGAACCAAAAATTACCAAATATTTCTCTTTGAATCAGTTTTGATCCTCGGGTGTGTTGAATAATGAGTCACCTTGATACATAATGTGTTCTTCGTGTATGAGTATGTGTTGAATTGTCACATAATTATGTGAGAGAGAAGACGAAATCGCCATGGGAGAGAACTCGGCGGAGAAGATGATGTAAAACAAAATTAGGGTTATTGATTTCCCCTTTGTACTTTGTGTCCCGATTCTTGTTTTTTTTTTTTTTATGTTTTTTTTTGTTTTGTTTTATTTATAATTTAAATTTATAATTCCTCTTAATTGATTAATTTAAAGGGTATTATGGTATTAATAGATTTGAAAATCCTATTTTCCCAAAAAATCTTCTAAAAGTCTTATAGGGACAAATCCAAGTTGAGAGTGTCCTAATTTTCCAATTTTCCCTAAATAAAAGCGACGCCGTTTCTTCGTTGGTATCTCCGATCAGCAATGAATGCAACCCCGAAAGATACGAGCGATTCGTCGTCCCTGAAGGCACCAACAAGTATTACCCTCGAAAGCTTACTCTCTCTAATCTTCATATTCCAATAAAATGGTGTGCTTAAAAACACGTTGGATGTTTTTTTTTTAAAAAAAAAAACACGTTGGATGTTTTTTTATAGGGTTTTTTTATGAGAAGGACAGAAGTTCATCAATGCTGCTGCCTTGACGATCGAGAGAAAAGACGAGACCATTGGACACATCGTCCGCATGTATGTATGATAGCGTAATACACAAGATTAGCTATAATCGTCTTGCCGTTCATAAAACAACAAAACGTGACTCACCGTAGAAGATGTAGAAAAAGAATCAATCTTCAAACGAAATGAATCCAAGAGAGAATTACAGAGTTCTTAAGGTTTAGAGAAAATACAATGAACACTTTTCTGAATGAATGAAAAATAACAACTCTCTTCTCTCTTTATCGACTCTGTAACAAACGAGTCATTGAGTCAACTCGTTAGTTACATTTCCCTCCACGTGTTCCTTCTTTATTGGCTCTCTCTTATCCATAAGACTTCAACGACTAAAACTTCCTCCAACCAATCTCTCCTTGCCAGCTGTCCTTATTCGTTTCTCCTGTATCAAATCTTTCCCCAAAGAAGCTTGACCACAAGCTTTAAGTACTGAAACTTGGGAACTTCTTCTGCAAATCATACAACCATTCCCACGTCGCCTCCTCCTTTGTTTCGTTAACCCATTTCACCAACACCATTGTAGCTGCTCTGTTGTGACTATTACCCATCTTCCTCCCCAAAAAATAATCCAAAACCTTAGCTTGGTCATCACGTAACAATGTTGGTAACTGTGTTGCTGATGTTGCTTCTCCCACCGAGTGTTTAAGTTGAGAAACATGGAACACATGATGGATTTGTGAAGCACTTGGTAACTCCAACTTATAGGCCACCGATCCATGTTTATCCAGTACCTTATACGGACCATAATACTTCGGAGAAATCTTCTGGTTACCCCTTGTGACCACAAATTGCTGACGGTAAGGTTGAAGCTTGACATACACAAAATCACCTATTTCAAAACTCCTCTCACTGCGATGCTTATCCGCCTGTTGTTTCATTCGATGTTGAGCTCTCATCAAATGAAACTTCAAAAGTAAGAGCATTTTCTCACGTTCCTCCAAACTTTTAGCAACTACTTCTATCTTCGACTCCCCAGGTAAGTAAGGTAGATGGACAGGAGGTGCTTGCCCATAGACCACCTCATATGGAGTTGCTTGAATAGCTGTGTGAAAGTTGGTATTATACCAATACTCAGCCAGAGGTAACCACTTTGACCACAGAAAAGGTTTCTCACTTGTCATACAACGTACGTAGGTCTCAACACATCTGTTCACCACCTCTGTTTGATCATCACTCTGAGGGTGATATGAAGTTGATGTGTTGAAAGAACAGCCCTGCAACGCAAACAACTCCTTCCAAAACTCGCTTAAGAAAACCGTGTCTCGATCACTCACAATGGATCTTGGAAACCCATGTAAACGGTAAACTTGATCCAGAAAGACCTGTGCTACTGTCATAGCTGTATAAGGATGAGCAAGAGCCATGAAGTGAGCAGATTTGCTCAACCTGTCCACCACAACAAAGATCACCGTTTTGCCAAATGATTTAGGCAAGCCGTCAATGAAATCCATGGAAATATCCACCCATACAGCCTCTGGAATGGGTAATGGTTGTAGAAGACCCTGAGATGCTGCAATATCATATTTACAGCGTTGACACACACTGCAACTTCGCAAGTAATTTTGAATATCCTTAGCCATCCCTTTCCAGTAAAAAATCCCTTTCACCCTCTGCATTGTGACATCTCGACCATAATGACCCCCTTGACCTGATCCGTGTAACCACTCAAGAATCATATTTTTCAATTCCACCACTGCAGGAACCACGATCTTACTCTTCCGCCTTAACACTCCTTGAACCAAAGAGTAATGCTTATGGAACTTTGACCTACTACTCAAATCCTCTATCAATTGTTTGATGTTGATATCTGTATCATAAGCCTCTTTGATTCTCTGCAGTAAATCATACTCCAGTACCGTCATAGCCATATGCAATATCTCTGCCCCTTCAACTCTAGATAACGCATCTGCAGCAATGTTGTCCTTCCCTTGTTTATACTGGATTTCATAATCAAATTCCAACAACTTCGGTAACCACTGCTGCTGAATAGGTGTGTTAAGCTGTTGTTCCGTTCTGATGACATAATGACTAACCAAAAGATAATGGCGCCATTTTTGTACTGCAAACACCACAGCTAACAACTCTTTTTCATAGATAGACAGGTTAAGTTGTCTCCCCTTCAAGTGTCTGCTAATGTATGCTAACGGATGACCGTCTTGCATAAGTACTGCTCCTATACCTGATCCACAAGCGTATGTCTCAACTACAAAACTCCTATCAAATCTTGGTAATGCCAGAACATGAGTAGTACATAATGCCTTCTTCAATTCTTCAAAGGCACTTTGTGCTTCCTGATTCCACATAAAACTTTCTTTCTTGGTCAGTGCTGTCAATGGTCTTGCTATCACTCCAAAATGCTTAACAAATCTACGATAATACCCAGCAAGACCCAAGAATCCTCGTAGAGCTTTCAGGTTCTTTGGTATAGGCCATTCCATCACTGTTTGTATCTTACTTGGATCTGTAGACACACCATCTGCTTGAATGAAATGACCTAGATACTCCACCTTGTTTGTAGCAAAGGCACACTTGCTACGTTTTAGCAAACAATTTGTGCTCCCTCATCAACATAAACACCTTACGCAGATGGTCCAGATGATCCTCTCGATAACTGCTATAGACAAGAATATCATCAAAAAATATCAACACAAATAGCCGCAGAAAACTCTGAAAGACTGCATTCATGAGACTTTGGAAAGTTGCAGGTGCATTCGTGAGTCCAAAGGGCATGATCACATATTCATAATGTCCACTGTGTGTTCGAAATGCAGTCTTATGGATATCAGCTTCCTCCATCCTTACTTGATGATAACCAGCATGTAAATCAATCTTTGAGTAAATCATAGACCCTCCCAATTCATCCATCAAATCGTCAATCAAAGGAATAGGAAACATGTCTTTGATTGTCATGTTGTTTAGTTTCCGAT